ATGTGACCACATCAGAGCAGGTTATGGAGGAAGGATTCCCAGTAGACATAGTAGAATTGAATAGGAAAATAGATAACCAACCCAACATCACCACAAAAACACAACAAGGCGCTAACGGCCCAATACCATCCTAGATCCTTACCATCCTTAGGGTGCCAACAGACCCATACCATCACTAATCTGAAGGTTTAAGGCGCTTGAAGACCCACCTCTTCAAAGAGCATCTCCTATCCTAATCCTAACCCGTACCTCTACCCCCCCCCCCACAACTCCTTATGTGGTCCCCTCTACCTCTAGCTGTCACCACTGACTCTGATCAGGGTTTCTCCTCTATATAGCTTATTGTAATAGTGATGAGAAATTTAATATTGTGTCTACTCTGTAAGTCGCTTTGGATAAAAGCGTCTGCCAAATGCATAAACATAAAAGACCCATACCATCACAGATCTGAAGGTTTAAGGCGCTAAAAGACCCATACCCTCCCTAATCTGAAGGTTTAGGGCGCTAACAGACTCATACCATCACTAATCTGAAGGTTTAGGATGATAACAGACTCATACCATCACAGATCTGAAGCTTTAGGGTGCTAACAGACCCATACCATCAAAGATTTGAAGGTTTAGGATGCTAACAGACCCATAACATCACTGATCTGAAGGTTTAGGATGCTTACCCCCTCATGCCATCACTAACCTGAAGGTTAACCATCACAGATCTGAAGGTTTAGGATGCTAACAGACCATACCATCACAAATCTGAAGGTTTAGGACGCCAACAGCCCCATAACATCACAGATCTGAATGTTTAGGGCGCTAACAGACCCATACCATCACTAATCTGAAGGTTTACTGTCACAGGTCTGAGGGTTTAGGGCACCAACGGCTTTATACCATCACATATCTGAATGTTTAAGGCGCTAATAGACCCATACCATCACAGATTTGATGGTTTATGATGCTAACGGCCCCATAGCATCACAGATCTGAAGGTTTAGTGCACTAACAGCTCCATACTATCACTGGATGGTCATGCAGTTGGCCTCAGAGAAATCAAACACTTTCAGACAGTTACAGAGGATCAAACCTCTCATTACACATCAACTATGAATCCAGTTAATGGTTTCAGTTTCATTTCAACTGAAGAGAGATTACCAACAATCATTTTAAGAATTCTGGTTGGACGAGTTTTATGAGTTCTAAGAATTTAGGGCAAAGGACTCACAGTGAAACATTTATTACAACAAAAGTAACTTTAACTCTGCAGGGTGTGCAAAGTTTTCCCTTTGCAGAGCGTCCAAATCATGGCCTTGAACTTAAACTGTTTTACTAAGCCAGAGTGGGACATGTCTGGTCCTAATATGAACTTTTTAACCCATTTTCCAGATGTGTTTATGGAAAATGTTCCAGCTGAAAGTGTTCAAACCAGGCAGAGTCGAGTCTTTACCAGAACTTTTTATGTTTCAATATTTTTTTTAAAAAAACACATCGGATAATTAAACTGACAGCAGCACATATTTTAGAGAAAAAAAACTCCTCCTCATCTGTTAAAGAAAAGAGCTCCTCATTGGATGAGCATAATCATTCAATGTACTCTGAAGAATGACAACCCTCATTTCTTATGACACACCCATTTCTTTAACATAAATGTGCGTCACAAGTTGAACTCATTTCCAAGCTGCAGCTCTCCCAACCCACAGACTCGTACCAGGTGAGTCACTAAACGGGCACAAATTCAACAGATAAAAAGGAATAACAGAGGATAAGTGTGTCTGTAGTTTTCGGCTGTAATGGCATTAGCCTGAACGATTATTTAAATTCATCCTATGTATTGATTTTACCTTAAAAATGAGCCTCTGCTGTTAGTGCAAATACTCGAGTGCAGGAATGGAATTGAAGAATCTGAATAAATTGGTTTTATATCAACATGCTGCAGTGAACTAGTTTAACTGGTTCTGTGGTTTAAGGGACAATGAGGTTTTATTTATTTTTATTTAAATTTATCAATTTATTGTGCTTTGGTTCCATTTTATAATTTAGGTTTATATTGATGGTCAGTTTAAAACTGCATTTTGAATTTTTACTATATTTTTTACTATATTCTATATATACACTATACTATACTATTTAACTATAGTTAAATACTATTTGAAATATGAACCCGTGCAGCTCTGATTTTATCAATTACTGGAATGCAGATGAGAACAGACGAGGTCCAGAAAGTTAAGTTTCTCTACTATAAAGCTGATAAAGCTGAACAATAAAACTACTGTAACAAAACAGCAGATGCAGAAAACACTAAACATTTATCATTTAAAACTTTGCATAAAAGTTGGTATAAATAACAAAACGAGGCGCTGAGGATTACTCTAAATCCTTGATCTTCTAACATGACTATTAAGATGATATTTAATGAGTGTCTTAAAAAGAGCAGCATCACATATCCACAAAGGAATTCCTGATTTGCAGGCAGAGCAGTTTCTGTTGCTCCCCGATTGTATCAGCTCTGCTTTGTGACCCATCCTGTCAGACAACAAGCCTCTCAGAGAAATGAAGGCAAAGAGCTGCTACTAACCCACCAGAACAACAACATGTCCCGAGTAAAGAGGGGAGAGGTCTGACAGACTCCTCATTTAAACACATGTGGGACTTAAACATGGATTCATTTATTTTAACTACATTTATGTGTGTCAAAATCGTAACTGGAATATTAAGTAATTATTTCTTGTTAAATATCAAATGGATTGTGTAAAACAGGCCTCCTGAACACACTTTGCAAAAAGAAAAATAATGATGCACGTTCACTCATTACTTTGCAATACATTAATTCATTTTCCTAATAACTTTCTGTGATGAATTTTAATATAATCTTTGTATTTGCTGTGTTTCCAACCACCCAGCTGACCCCCGACCTCGGCCTCTGTGATAAAAATAACTGCCATACATCATGGCAACATCCCAATCTCGTCCACACGGTGAGTCTGACACTGGGAGACAGATGGTTTCCAGTTTGGTGGCAACAATGAGCTCAAAAGGGCAAAAAGCAGAAAAAATCAGAAAGTCTGAACACACCCTGAATCTCCCCTGTTGGATGGGTGGTGGTGCTCTGTCTGTACACCTCTTAGTTCACACCCTTTTCAGGGTGGAGACTTGGTAACAACAACCAGACGGACGAGGGGAAAATCAGAAACTGAAAGTCAGAATGGCTCTTTGAATAGTTTTAAAGGAAAGGGGAGCTAAAAATACCAGGGTTGTAGCTTTTGGGAGACTCTGGACTTGGGCTGATATGATATATGCTCTAAGGCCTCCAGGTTCTCTATAAAGGTTATGTGAGTGCCCCAGTTTCCTGTTTCAGAGTGAGGAGACAGCATCTTTATGTTGGTGTCTCACCAGCAAAGTCTCCTCTTAGGCCTCTGAATGAACGTAATGAGCTCATTTAACGTAATTCAGGACATTCCAATAAAAATGGAAATGACGTTGAACAAATGTGTTGAAATTTACTGAAAAATTCTGTTTTTTTGTCTGTTTTTGTTTTTTACAGCGTCTGAGATCCGCGTTGTGGTGTTGGGAAAGAGCCAGAATAAAAGGTCTTTGCTAACCACCTTCATCACCGGGAAGAAAGACTTATTCCTCAACAAATTAACCAAACACTCAACGCTTTTTCGAGGGAAGGCTTTGAAGACGGACCTGATGGTAGTGTACACGTCGGACGTCTTCAGCCTCACTGAGCAGAAGGTGAAGCACGAAATGAGGAGGTGTGTGGCTCTGTGCCCCCCCGGGCCCGACGTCCTGCTGCTCCTGGTCAGGCCTTCGGACTTCAGCGAACAGGACCGGCTAAGGCTGAAGTTCATCCTCAGCTTTTTCGGCGCGGACGCCTTCAAACACGCCATCGTCATCCTGACCAACACGGAGGAGCCAAACTCCTCGGCCGTGGAGAAACTGGTCCAGGACTGCGGCCGGAGGCAGCAGAAGCTCAACTTCGACAAGCTGGCGGATCAGGATCTCCGGCAGCTTCTGGACAGGATGCAGAGCCTGATGAACGACAACCGGAGGGGCCACCTGAACTTCTCCCAGGGGGTCACCCCCATGGCGGCCTGCGGGACCTTCAAGCCTCCCCTCAACCTGCTTCTGTGGGGCCGGCACAGACTCTGGAAGGCCTCGGTGGCCAACGCAATCCTGGGGAGCCAGAAGGAGGGCCGGGAGAATGTCAAAAGCGAGGCGGTGGTGAACGGGCAGCTGGTGTCCCTCATCCAGATGCCCGGCCTCCAGGGGAAGCCTCCGGAGACAGTGCAGAAGGACACGCAAAGCTGCATGTCGCTCTGGAACCCGGAGGGCGTCCACGCCTTCGTCCTGGTGCTGCCGGTGGGCCACTTCAGTGAGAAGGAGAAGAGGGAGCTGGAGCTCCTCCAGAGCACCTTCGGGCCCAGAGTGGTGGACTTCACTATGGTGCTGTTCGCCACCGAGGGGGATCCCAACGACCCAGAAGTGGCGGGCTTTGTGGCCCAGAACGAGGGCGTCCGGGAGCTCTGCGGCAGCTGCGGCGGGCGGTACGCCGTCTTCCAGGTCGGGGACAAGCGCCACGTCTCGGAGCTGCTGCACGCCGTGGAGCAGATGACCGACAAGGGCTCCCAGTGCTTCACCAAAGTCATGACCATAAAGCCCAAGAGCAAGAAGCTCCCAAAGCAGGAGAGCCAGGCCAAACCGGCTGTGAGGACGCTGATCCGGCAGCCGGTGAGGATGGTGATGATCGGGAAGACAGGCTGTGGGAAGAGCGCCACCGGAAACACCATCCTGGGGGAGAGACGCTTCCACTCCAAAGCCTGCATGAGGTCGGTGACGGCCGTGTGCCAGAAGGAGACGGGGCTGACGGAGGGGCGGCTGGTGGCCGTGGTGGACACGCCTGGCCTGTACGACACTAAGCTGTCCAACGAGCAGGTCAAGCAGGAGCTGGTCAAGTGCATCAGCCTGCTGGCTCCCGGGCCCCACGTCTTCCTGCTGGTGGTCCAGATCGGCCGCTTCACGCAGGAGGAGAAACAAACCATCCGGCTCATCCAGGACTTCTTTGGGGACAAGTCCAGGGATTTCGTCATCCTTCTCTTCACCAGAGGGGACGAGCTCCAGGATGAGACCATGGAGAGTTACATGGAGGAAGCCGGCGACGACTTCCTCCAAAAGCTGATCGAGGACTGCGGAGGGAGATACCACGTCTTCAACAACAAGGACCAAAAGAACCGGGCACAAGTTAAAGAGCTTCTGGCCAAGGTCGACGCCATAGTGAAGAAAAACGGGGGGAACTGCTACACCACCAAAATGTTCCAAGAAGCCGAGGAAGCCATCGAAAAGGAGGTGCAGAGAATCTTGAAAGAAAAGGAAGACGAGATGGAAAAGGAGAAGGAGGAACTGCTGAGACAGCTTGACGAAGAGATCCAAGAAATGAAGATGAAAACTGAGCGAGAACAAGTGGAGAGAGACAAAGCGCTCAAGGAGAAGGAGGAGCTGATCAACCACGAGGAGGAGAAGAGAAAGAAAGAGGAAGAAAAGAGAGAAAAAGAGGACGAGGATCGGAAAAACTATGAGGACAACCTGCGCCGGCAGTGGGAGCAAAAGCTGAAGGACCTGGAGAAGAAAATCCAAGCTGAGAGTGAGAAGAACGCAGCTGCTGACAGAAACCTGACAGAGCACCGGGAGGAGATCCAGAAGGAGCGAGAGGCTTGGGAGAAAGAAAGGCAGGAATGGTGGGATAAAAGACACCAAGAAGAGCAACAGAGAAAGGAGGAGGAGCAGGCCCAGCTCAAAAAGCTCAGGGAGGAATACGAGAAGGAGAGGAGTGAATATGAGAGCAAACGCAAAGAGGAGGAGCTGACCAAGAAGGCCCAAGAGGAGGAACAACTGCTAGACGCCCAGAAAAACTACGAGAAAAAAGTGGAGGAGGTTAGGAAGAAAACCGAGGCGGCGGCCAGGAGGCAGGCGGAGGAATTCAACGACTTCCGGCAGAAATACACCTCGGACTTCGCGGCCCTGACGGCGAAGCACGAGCGGGAGCTGCAGGGCCTGAGGCAGCAGCAGCAGGAGAAGACCCACCTCCTGCTCCAGAACCTGCTGCTCAACAAGAGCTACCGGAGGGACTTCGAGCGGCTGCAGGCCGTCCACAGGGAGGAGCTGGACCGGCTGGAGGGGGAGGGCCGCGAGGCCCCCGACTGGCCGGCCAGAAGGCAGCGGCTGCAGGTCAAACACGATCAGGAAATCAGCGAGTGGACGGAACAGTACGCAAAGAGAGCCGTGGAGGAAAAGTCCTGCAGCCTGCTGTGAGCTCACGGCCTCCCAGTCCCAACAGAAACCCCATTCATGGGATTATAGTAACGCTTTTTACAGCTCTCCGAGTACCAGATTCCATATGTCAGGTAGGGCTGGGCGATATGAGAAAAAGTTATATTTCGATTATTTTCCCCAAAGAAATTTCAATTTCGATTAAAAAAAAACTAAAAAAAAAAAATTCTTGTATATTTCTATATTTTTTCTGGAATATTACAAATGTAATCAACAAAAATAGCTTTATCTTTATTCATTTTCTAGAATATTACAAATTTAATAAACAAAAATTGCTTTTTTCTGGAATATTACAAATGTAATAAAAAAATAGCTTTTTTCTAGAATATTACAAATGTAATAAAAAAATAGCTTTTGTCTAGAATATTACATTTGTTATCAACAAAAATAGCTTCTTTTTTCTGGACTATTACAAATGTAATCAACAAAAATACCTTTATCTTTGTTAATTTTCTGGAATATTACAAATGTAATAAACAAAAATAGCTTTTTCTAGAATATTACAAATTTAATAAACAAAAATAGCTTTTTCTGGAATATTACAAATGTAATTAAAAAAAAGCTTTTTTCTAGAATATTACAAATGTAATAAAAAAATAGCTTCTTTTTTTCTAGAATATTACAAATGTAATCAACAAAAATACCTTTATCTTTATTCATTTTTCTGGAATATTACAAATGTAATAAACAAAAATAGCGTTTTTCTAGAATATTACAAATGTAATGAACAAAAATTGCTTTGTTTTTTTTCTGGACAATTACAAATGTAATCAACAAAAATAGCTTTATCTTTATTTTCTGGAATATTACAAATGTAGTAAAAATAGCTTAATTTTTTTTTCTGGAATATTACAAATATAATAAACAAAATAGCTTTATTTTGCTTTATTTTGTGGAATATTACAAATGTAATAAACAAAAATAGCTTTTTTTCTAGAGTATTACAACAGTAATAAGCAAAAATAGCTTAACAAGCTTTTAGGTTTCTCAGACTTCACAGGTTGCTGGTGTTCCTGTGTTTCCCATTAGCTACGTTCCTTCTACATAGTTTGCACAGTGAGTTCCTCTGTTCGTCCAACTTCAAATACCCAAAATACCTCCAAGCAGCCGAAGGCGTCGGCTTATCGAGTGTCTCATTTATAATTGTAGAGAAATTTTACATTGTGATTAAAATCGAAATAGCGCCCAGCCCTAATTTCAGGTACCGAATGTAACACTTTCATCTAAAGACATTTTTTTCAAACAAAAAAAAGATGCAGTAGGTCAGAAATGTAGTCTTTAAATTACCTTTTTGCTTTCCATAGTAAGTAATAACCCACTTTATCACTTTATCGAGCTGTTCAATCACAATTTTTTAATATTTTTAGAGAAGCTAAAGAGAGAAGCTGTATCAGTTATATTTGTTTCAATTTAACCATTCGGGTTTGTGGGTTATATTTTTGAGGAATTATTTTGTCTTGAATGTATGAATATTGGGGTGAAATGAAGTGGTTACAGAGTCCCATCAGCCTTTTTCCATTCTTAAGTTTTAAAGGGCACTTAAGGGACACGTCAACGTAAACTGATCATTTATTGGAAAAAAAAGTTTGTCCTGATATTCAGAACATGTCTGAACATTTTGGACTCACAGGACGTGACCCATGTTTTCATTTTAAAAGCTAATCAGTGAGATAATCTGCAGTTTTATCAATGTCTCTGGTTTAAATTCATACGACTACTGGCTTAGTTTGACAGGATTAAGTCATAAAACACACTGCAGTCAGATTTTATCTTAGAATAACTATTATAGCTTTATAGAAAGTAATAAAGTTGCTTGTATTAACGTCATGTTTTTCAACCTCTGTTGCTTTAACTGTAGATGATTTACTTCTGATTCTTAACCAATAAAGAGCTGTGAGCTGCTTTTCTTCTGAATGTGCTTTCATGCCCACATTAAGGGGGAAAATCTATTAAAATGAGTCCAATCGTAATATTTACAGTTACCCGTTTGTAGCCATAACAACGTCATGTCAGCTGTGTAACCATAGTAACCTGCTGTCACATGGGATCTGGATGTCTCTGCTGTTTCAGGAGCCGGTTTATCAGGTTCCTGAGATTCCTCCTGTTTGAGCTCAGAGAGATCAGGGAATTGTTCAAATGAAGTGTGTGTGTGTTTCTCTGAGCAGCGACACTCAGTCAAGACTCCACTGGGTCCAGACAGATGATATTCAGACGATTATTTCTGAGTGAACGAGGAAAAAATTAAGCTGAAACTACTTTTAGACGAAAATCTCTCGAGTATATCTATAACAAAAGTAGATCAAAACAAGGGAGACTACGTATTATTTTAGTGTAAATACTATAAAATAACAAAAATCAATCGGTGACACAGACCAAAGATAAAAAATTCAGTCTGTGGAATTATGCAACACACAGCTATGAGCAGGAGAAAGTGAAAGTACACACAGCCGACCTCTGAACACACAGCCACAAGGGGCTTCAATCCAGCTAAAGGCTTCAATCTGGTTGAAAGCTTCAATCCAGCTAAAAGCTAAAGGCTTCAACCCGGCTAAAAGCTAAAGGCTTCAATCTGGTTGAAGGCTTCAATCCAGCTAAAAGCTAAAGGCTTCAACCAGCTAAAGGCTAAAGGCTTCAAACCAGCTAAAAGCTAAAGGCTTCAACCCAGCTAAAAGCTAAATGCTTCAATGCACCTAAAGGATAAAGGCTTCAACCAGCTAAAGGCTAAAGGCTTCAACCAGCTAAAGGCTTCAATCCAGTTTAAAGCTAAAGGCTTCAACCAGCCAAAGGCTAAAGGCTTCAATCTGAGAACACTGGGGTGTGTCAGAGGCTCTACTTTCTGGAACAGTCTTTGTTATTTAAATGCTCCCTTTAATTTGAGCCTGGAGGAGAAACAACACGCCCAAACACAGCTGGAGACTTTAGACTTAGTAGGGTGTGTTGACGATCCAGTGGGATCCGAATCAAGGCCTTAAAAGTTTGAGTGTCTTACCAAACCAGACGAGCTGGGAGACCTGGAAACCTGGGAAACTTGGGAATACTGGGAAAGACGAGTCTGAACCAGAACCGGGACTTTAGGGTTAGGGGTCAGGGGAAGTGTCCCAGGTCTGGAGGGGGTCAGGAGTCAAAGGAAGTATCCAAGGTCTGGGAAGGTCTGGGGGGGGAGGTCAGGGGAAGTGTCCCGGGGCTGGGGGGGTCAGGGAGGGTCTGGGGGGGATGGGGGGGTCGGGGGATCTGAGTGTTGCATAACGTCGGTGTGATTACAAAAATAAAAAAGCTTGGCCATGTTTTGGCGTGAGACTCTCTGTGGACACACCCGCTCACATTTCTGCTCTGAGACCAGACCCCCCCCCCATCCAGGAGCTGATCTCTGACCCGGAAATAGACAAACCCAAAGGAGCTTTTCTGGAAAATGCAAAAAAATATTACTTATCAAAGCTCATCATGAATCCATCACACTGGGTATGATTATGTGGAAATAATAATGATAATAATTTGGGTTATATTTCCTTTAATAAAAAAGAACCAGCAGATTCTGGACTGATGCTGGAAAGTCTTTAAAACTGTCAAAGAAAACGAAAAGCTAATTAAACTGAAACGACACAAACTCTCTACACAGCAGAAATGTAACAGGACAGAGGGAAGATTCATATTTAATTTGTAGGAATTTTAGCCAGTAAACATGACTCCATTTATGTGAATTCAGATTAACTGAGGGGCCATCTGATGGCCAGTCAGAGCAGAACCAAAGGAGAGCAGGAATGTTAGCGTAGCTGCATGCTAACCCTGTTTGTTCTGTTTGTTTGGCTCCACAACATCTGATCTCAGAGTTGTTCCACTCGGAAACAATCAAGAAGTAACCTCATCAAAGGACAAGGGGACTTTCCTCAGCTAAAATAAGCCCAGAACTGTCAGCCGGAGGTCCAGGGAGGTTGGAGGGGGCAGTGAAAACCTCAGACGAGTTCAGTCTGCCGGACCAGGAACTGAAACGGGAAATAAGAAGCTGCCAGACGTTCTGCTGGTGAGGCCTTCTGAGCTCACAGAGGAGAGAAAGAGGCTGAAGTCCAGCCAGAGTCTGTTTGGTAAGGGTCCCTCCTGGGGAATTTTTGGTGTTTGGTCCCGTCTCCATGGTTGTCTGGTCATTTCCTGTTTTATTTTGAAAGGTACATCCCCTTGTTTCAGGCCCTGTGTGTCACATGTCTGATTGTCTTCCCTGAACACCGATCGTGTTCCCCTGGGGTTCCCTCCAGGTTCCCTCCTTCCTTCCAGGTTCTCTCCAGGTTCCCTCCTTCCTTCCAGGTTCCCTCCAGGTTCCCTCCTCCGCTCCAGGTTTAAATAGTCTGTGTCTCTATTGTTTGGTGCCAGTGGGTTGCGTATACACATATATATATGTGTGTGTGTATGTGTGTGTTTATATCTTCAGAAATTCATTCAGAAAACTTTAAAATGTGTCTGCACTTTTAAAAAAATCATCAGATTAAAAGCATCTTAAAGAAACATCTAAATGTACAGTTTTTCCTCCACAAACTGCAACCGGTCCCCAGGCTGAGACACACTGTTACTATAGCAACTGCTCATCCTTCAGATCCCCACATCAAATGCAACGTTTCCAACGGGAGCCTCAGCAGAGAGGGAGGTTTTTATCTGGGCAGTGAGGGGAGCCCCGGCCACATTTAGGACAAACATCCGGCATGAAAGCAGGCGGGGCAGAAAACTGGCTCGTTTTAAACCCTCTCAGGTTTATCTCAGCTGCTCTGTCCACAAACTAAAGTCTGTCCAGCTGAACGGACAGAATGCAGAGCATCCTAATGCACGGCTGCAATCATCACACCCCGGGCCCCAGTCTGGGCCCTGCTGATACCAGAGGCCTGAATCTGGGCCCTGCTGATA